CCATTAAAACAGTCAATGTTGTACAAGGGTCCTGCAGGCTTCATCCGATCAAAACCAACTAACAGACGAGGATCCCTTGAGACAACTCTATACAGCACCTCTCCTTCACCCTCCATCAGAAACACAAGACTGGTCAGACTGCGACGAAACTGACCAGCATGTGGACACACAAACCTGAAAGACAGGATATTTTCATGTTATTAAATCATAATGGCCTGCATATTTATTTATTATGTGATAATACTGTAGATAATGCAAAAAGAAAAGAAAAGCCGGGATGTTTGAATAAGGATTTTGGAAAAATTCATGCAAACAAATACAAATAACAACATCAACTGTTATAAAAAAAAAGATTAAAAAAACAAATACTAAGGCAAAACAATCAAACGGAACAAACAGACCTGAATATATGCAAAGGTTAACAAATGCTGGATATGAGAAATATTCATTGGAAAGATAATAATAGAGCCATTTTATGTGAGGATGTGATAGTACAAATTATGTTATGATAATAGACATATGCAAAATGCATAACCTTCTGTAAGCAGTGACGTCCAAGCGTACGGCGTCAGGAGAAGACGCCCGGGCACGTCGCGCACGCAGCAGCGGAGCAGTGCGGGGGACAGCGCAGCGGCTGTTGCGCGGGGGTGATGTAATGTTGCTCCGGATGGCGGTGTGCGCCAGGCTCTGCGGAGCGGGACAGTCGCGGCGCTGCAGGCGGCGGCAGAGGCACAGCCAGCCGCATCAGGACAGCGACTCCGACATGGACATGGACGAGGAGGAGGAAGAGGAGAGGGTCGTGGGCAAAACGAAAGACGAGCCCGATGGCGGCAGCAGCCGTCATAGCAGCGGAGCCGGTGTCCTCGGGTCTGGGGCCTCCGCGGGGCCACCGCACCCGCAGTCGCTGCTGGACCTGCCGCCGGAGCTCCTGGTGGAGATCTTCTCCTCTCTACCCGGCGCTGCGCTGCCCAACCTGGCGCTGGTGTGCAAGAAATTCAGGCAGATCCTCAACACGGAAACAATCTGGAGGAGGAGATGTACAGAGGGTAATGCAACAACGGCTGCTACACAGCACACAGCGGCCTTTTGTTTACACTCGAAACTGATATGTTATGACACCGACTCAAACACTATCATAGCGTTTATATATATGTATAGTTACACGTTAATTAGTGCTGTCAAAAGATTAATGGCGATTAATCGCGATAAATCCAAAATAAAAGTTTGTTTATTTTACATAATATATGTGTATGTACTGTGTATATTTATTATGTATA